AGCTTCACCTGGAAAATTAACTATGGCTGAATGGCTCTGCACGGATTGATGACACTTCAAATCGTTTGAGGCTCTGGGTTTTCGTAGCTTGTGAATGCACCTAATGCTCCGAGAAACCCTTCATGCCTTAAGAACATCGCCTTTGCCTCACCTCTTGACCTGAATGATAGGAGTATGAGTCAGGAGAAGTTTTGGATAGCAGAAATCATTGAGAAAAGTAATTTCAGGTTACCAGAAGTGAACCGCAACAGATATTGTGTCCATTGTGTACTCATGGCTGCGGATAAAAAATCCACCAAAGAATATACGCTTCAGTCCGAATCTGAGAGCATTCAAGTAGGCAATCTGGAGAGGATGAAGAAAATATTCAAATCAGAAAATCGTTGAGACTTGATTATTAATAGGACAGAAAAAGCTTGTCAAGGAATGGGCCTTGGACATTGTTGTCTCAGTAATATGCCGTGGAATTGTTCAGAGGAAGGAGACTGACCTGACCGATGTTATTTGAAATCATTCTTAAAAGGGATCTTGCTACGTCTTCAGGTTTGTAATCTTCCAGTTCTTTGATATCAGATATTGCCTTTCCAAAGCTGGAAGCGATGGTTGTTGATGAAAGACCAATCTGCCATAAAAAGAAACGGCTTTGATTATGATTGAATCCAGAGCCGAACTAAAGCAGATGATCGTATTGGAAAACAGACACTGTATTCCAAGCATAATTCCGTGTATAATCTGATAGACATATCTTGATCTCAAACTCAGCGACCAGCCAAACTAACTGAAATAAGACACAAGTCTTTCACCTTTGAATAGTCCATTCCACCATAAATATCCCCAACAAGCATGTCGATTGCTCGGTTATTTCCCTGTTGACTTATCTCGAGCAGCTCATCAAAACTGAAACTAAAACAACGTTAGTTTCTCGGTGAAGAGGGAAACTACACAAACTGCATTCAAATAACTGGTCCTAAAATAAAGCCACCTCTTGCATTTTGTTAAGAGCTTTCCAAGACCTAGAAAAGTGCCTCCACCAAGACTTGTTCCACTGACTCGCTCGTACTTGCCATCTCCTTCTACCTTTGTACGGAGGATATTGTTTAAGCAACTTCACCGGATTAATTCTGAAAATGGTGATCAGATAGTAATAATCATAGAATACCTTTATCATGCTAACACCAGAGCCAATGTTAACAAGAAGATACGGGAATAAATCATTATGGTCAATCTGCACAAACTCTTTCCGGCCATCCAAGTAGGTATAAGCTTCCTGTGGGACCGTCTGCTCAAATGAAAAATTCAAGCTCAGGATTCAGATGTGAGCAAGCATCTGGAGAAACATGAGAGCCAGTTTATAACAACAAAACTTGCCTATGGATACGGACTAATTTAAAACATGCTGAGTTCAAGGAACTAGAATTGCATTCATATTGTTTCACCGCTTTAGATTTTTACATGGTCGCCTAAAAATTCTTCAATGCCACCTTTTCATGCCAATAGAAGGTACTTTTATCATAATTGGAACATGCAGACGACAACCCTAACATAAGACATCTGGAAAATGAGCACGACTGTTGACAAGGACACATGGCTATGTGACTTGTGCTTTCTGGTGTGTTTCAGTGCTCAGGTGTGTTAGCAAGGACGAACTCAAAATGTTTTAAAGAAGGGACAGAACAAAACAGACGATTCCTCACTTGTGTCTTGCTAATAATGATAGTGGTAAAAGAAAGGAAAAGATCCTGACACGTATTGACAAAGAAACCCACCTTAAGAAGAAAATTTGCACCCCCGACAAGACAGTGCATCTCATCCTCCTTGTCAAAAAGAATTCCGAGCTTCTCTTTAAAGAGATCGGCAAACTTATATGCCCCGCCACCTGTGGCCTTTTCAATGATAGCATATCAGTAATAGATCAATATCTCTTAGCAGCGATCTACAGCTGCATTCCTCACAAGAAACCTTTTAGCCAAGCTCACCGGTTGCATGTACCTTAACAAAGGTCTTATCACGGGCTACCCCATGCTGATGTTGAACCCCTGAATAATAATAATTTCTGTAAGCGTATCTCGAAAGGAGAAAGAGAAACAATGAAGGAACTCAACCTTCTACGAGAAAATATAGGACCAACATACAGAGCGTCTTAGAATATACATTATCTTTGGTTTCAAAGAAGAACGGTGTTTTTTTTTTTTGATAATATGTGATTTGTCAAGAGTGGGGTTCGAATCTGGGTGGAACACTCTTTGCGCATACCCACTTACCAGTTTCCCTATAAAAGATAGGTACAAACAAAAGATTTGCAAATTGGAAAGATAAACTGACTGGAATACGCATGACTTGAGTTGATAATCAAACCACTGGACAGCAAATGATGTCACCATATCGGGTTGAAAACTAGAAGATTTGACGAGGATAACAGTTCAACCCCATATCCAGATATACACAAGAATGTGCCCCAATGAAGAATACGGTCTCTTGGTCTTGCTACCACATTATACGATCAAACAAACGCAGAAAACCGTGGCTAGTCTGATGTAAGTAGAAGGCTCTGATCTATGTATTCCAGATCTTGAACACAGTGCCCTCATTGAAGAATATTCCAAAAATCGTATAAAATTAGAGGACAGGAACAAAACCAACACTTACCGGTGTAATGAAGATTATCTGCTCGAATAAACTCTAAACAATCACCAATGTTCCTTGTCTCGAACTTTGCGAAACAAAGCCTCCCGCGCAGCACCGGACTAGCACCAGCACCATGGACGACTTCGAATTCACCGTCTCGAGACGTCTCACATACGTCACTACCACGGTCATCTTCGTTGCCATCAATCGAGAAATACACCAGCTTGATCAGTGTTCCTGCCGACCGGAAACTCCATCAGAATCCAACAAAACGACACAAACCTACGAAACTGGATCCCGACACCAGGATTCTAAACAGAATCGATTCAGACCACGGAAAAAGAAAGAACAAAAGAGGAATGGAGAAGATCGAACGGTAGGAAGAAGAATCAAAACATAAGGGGAGAGAAATCGAAGATCTCCCGTACCTCCGATGTCGAGAGCCAAATGAGAAGTTTGGCTCGTAGAAGGAGATGATTTTATCGGGAAACGAACATCAACCGGATCCATGGCGCTCTCTCTATCTCTTCCTTGGTCGTAAATGTCTGAACGTTCAAAGATCAACTGCTCTGAATCTACCATACCTAATTTCTCCCATAGCTGACTCTGTAATGTGTACTCTCTTTTATCTTATGAGCAGTGTCGTCGACCAATCTGGCTTGTCCAGATATGCAAACAATTTCTCTGGAGGAACCGATTTGCTGACGTGTCATGCTTTGACCAATGGCAATTACGCTTATCACGCGCTTTCTCAACCAATGGCAATTACGTCTCTCATGCTTTCTCAACCAACGGCAGTTATGAGTTGCCAGGGCAGACATCTCTGTTCCTGGCGAAATACATGTCCGGTTGGTCAAAAATGAACTTGGGGTAAGCAGAAGGAAATATGAATTTCAACACAAATCGTAACAAAGCTTCCAGATTTTGAACTTGGAATTAGAATATGCAAACCCAAAGAAGGAGAAGATAAAATGCGCAGTCTTAAGAAGTTCTCTACTTTGGTTACGTGACAGAAGGAAACATCACACAATCCCAAAAATTCAAAACACTTCAGTAACCAAACATAATAGCAAAGACACTCCACCAAAGTGATACTTTTTCTTCTTCTTGATAAAGTAAACGAAAAACATATTGCTTTCACCGCTCCGAGCGTGCGTCCGGTCCATCGCATACAGTTAACCCTCAGGCCTGTACATAGAAGACGAACATAACCCAATGCTCACATGTCAGGTCAAGACTATTGTCCCATTAATTTACTTCTTTTTCGGGCAAAGGCATAAAAAACAACTGTTTAGGCAAATAGCTAAAAAAGACAAATGAAAAAAACGCTCACTTTGTTAGCGATGTTGTTTGAAAGCCAGTCCAGACCCTCGTACAGTCCCTCCCCACTTGTAGCACATGTGCTCTGTATGTACCTGAACATATATATAAAAATATGTATAGCAAATCATATGCACCAGCTTTCGGATTTAAATGAGATAGTGGGAGGATGCATAAACACATAAAAAGTCTGCCCCGAAAAATCACCAGTGGCGCTGCCTCAGAGAGTGGAGGCCGAGCTTATCAGTTATCTCAGCAGCGTTCATTGCGTTTGGCAGATCCTGCTTGTTTGCAAATACCAGCAGCACCGCATCGCGCAGCTCATCCTTCATAATAAGCAAAAGCATTATATGTTAGTTATTACACAAACCAAATCCCAATCACAAGTGCCAAAATCCATGCGGGTATTTTTTCTTTAATCATATGGTATTGTGGTGATAACATTGCTAATCAATAGAGAGGGTGCCATAAAAAGTCTCGCAGACATTATTTCATCATACTAGTCTTCTTATTTGTCCATACCCATTAGATAAGAGGAATAACAATACCTCGTTCAACATCCTGTGAAGTTCATCTCTTGCTTCAACAACACGATCTCTGTCATTGCTATCCACCACAAATATCAAACCTTGTGTGTTTTGGAAATAGTGCCTCCACAAGGGACGGATCTACAATGAAGATAATTCAGTTCCAACTTCCTCTTTCAACTTTTTATCTTAATTTTCAAGGAGATTCATAAGAAAGACAAAAAAAGATAAAGGCAAACCTTGTCCTGACCCCCGACATCCCAAACGGTGAAGCTGATGTTTTTGTATTCAACAGTCTCCACGTTGAACCCTGTAAAAGAGTATGCATCATTGTTTAAGTTGCATATCCACAGATTTGTTTTTCAGAATTTTCCTTAGTAAAGAACTAGTGTACAAAAACTACTACATTGGTTCAAGTGGATTCAACTAGAGTACAAAAATTCGTATATACACATGGGCATGGTGTGGCTTTATACTACTCCCAAAGTTTTCCTTGCATCAGTAAGAGTAAAAGCTATATGATATTTCAGTCCATCAACTGATCCACCCACCAGAATCAATTTTCCAGCACAGGTTAAATGAGTTTCAGAGAGAATGCAATTCAATGTCACCTTCTATTAGATTCCTGAACAACCATTTGCTTAGAAAACCAGTTCAATATATAGGAATACCCGAACAGCACAAAACAACATGGTCTGTTGAAGTGAACCAGAGAAGATTATAGACCAGACAAAAGTATATTCAAACAATGATTAGCTCCAAATAAGAAATCTAAGTGTTCAATAATCAACCTGAGCAAAGTAACTAATCAAATAAGAATTCAAGGCAGAAATGCAATGCAATAGTCCAGGCAGGTCGAACTGGTTTTAAGGAATTACCAATGGTGGGAATGGTGGTTACGATCTCACCAAGTTTGAGCTTGTACAAAATGGTCGTCTTACCAGCAGCATCAAGACCTACCATAAGGATGCGCATCTCCCTCTTGGCAAAAAGCCGGCTAAAAAGCTTAGCAAATGAAAGCCCCATTTTCCTTCAGCTGGTGACCCTGAAATAACCAGAAGAGGGCAGATCATGATGAACTATAAACATCTTCAACATAATTCATCAGATCTAGTTCGCAGTTTGTTTCTGACCCTCTATTATTCCTACACAAAATCTTTAAAAAAAACACAACCAAATAGATCAGAAGCAGACACAATAAAATCTACCAAATCATCTTCTCACGATGAGCTCTTCAATCCAACATCAATAGAGAATTCAACACCTAACATTTTTTCCAGTACATGATTCATTGGGATCCGCAGGATAGCGTATCCACAACTAGAAACTTATGATTCCGTAAGCTAAATTGCAAACTGAAGGAATCATATGTTAAATTATATAAGAGAAGTTCTGTTAGAGAACAATCCTTAACCAAAGAAATAATCAATATGATCAAACAAAAAGTTTCAAACGAAATAATTGACCATCTTTTTAACATATTCCATGCAAATCTAAATAGATCAATTATACCAGAAATCTAAATAGATCAACAAACCATGTTCCACCACCTGAGTAACTAATTCACAAAAAAGAACAAACCAAAGCAGACAATATGTAATAAACCATATGACTCCTGATACCTCGGACGTCCATCGATCAACAAAACGATCGAACCAGATTCGACGTGTTCCGAGGAAATTTAGGTCACAAGCTTTAAATCAGGAAATGGAAACCGCCAAACCGGCAGAAATGATCACAATTAAAACGCAGAATTCAGACAATCTTCGAAGAACACGGATCGCAGTTTCAGGAAAAAAACACACCGAACAAACGAGATTTGATCTCTTCGGGACAAGGAATCCAATCCAACTCACTATTAATCAAACACTCAGTGCCATGCGATCAAAATTCAGATCCAGGAAATATAACAGAAGAGCTCGAAGATCTGAAGATGGAGACTACCTTTCGAAATCGATGCGAAGGGATCTCCGATAGAGAGAGAAGCTTCAAATCAACGCGAAGACTGGGAGGAGCAAAATTTGGCAACATGGTTCCATATAAATGTATTTTCTAAAAGTAAAAATTCACTAACACCCTCGCATTACTGAATAATTTATATTCTACCCACAAAATTGTTTCTGTTTCAGAATGACCCCATACATTTGTTATAATAAATTCCACCAACTTTGGTTTACTTATTTACTACACATCAAATACTATTTCTTTTTTTTTTTCTGTATCAAAACTAAATTAAGATTGACATCTTAAAAAAAATTTCTTATAATTAGATTGATTAAACTAACGAGCGAGTTTCTATCGGTCCATAAAGGTTTGAAATACAAAAAAGATGAGTATTAGGAAAAATAATAGATTACGAAATAGACCAATAGAAAAAAAATAATTGAAAAATAATTCTCTAAACGAAAACCAGAAATAAATAAAACATGAAAAGATATCATTTCGTCTGCAATTCCTTCACTTAGGCATAGTAAGAAATTGAATTGGACACGAAAATGCGATTACTGCTTTTGAATTGGGATCCTATACAAGTAAAGGTACCAAAATTCAAAAAACAACAAGGGCTATGGGATCTTTTCGAATTCCTTTACAGACCCCATCTTTGTACTATTACCATATATTCGTGTATATATATATATATATTATATTATACTACCAACCATTAGTGAATAATCTATAAGGAAAAACCCTCACCACAAAAACATAATGGAGAATTTAAGCCACGAAAATGGAGGAATTAAGAAATCGAAATTTTGATGCCAAATTTACATTCTGAAGGTGGAGATTCTGTCCACTGATCTGTACATCTGGCAAACCTTGTTTTACTTCTTTGACCATAATACATGAATCAAGACGCGAGAACGTACAGGACACTATTTACGAATTTGGTCGTATGCTAAATGTTAGAACTATATATATATATATATATATATTGCTTACGTGGATTTGTTAGGGTTCTTGGTTGAATCCACAAAGGTTTCAACGCCAATACTGAGCCCATCTATGGATGGTTTCAACCATTTGTGGGAACAATGCACTAACACTCTCGTTGATCAGATCTTGGAAGAAATGTATGCACGCTTCGTCTTCTAAATCTAGCCGAAACTTCTCTTGGAGCTGCGCATGAAGAAAATCATGGAGGAAACCGACGGAAATGAGCAACAGGTTATGAGAAATGGAAATGCTTTCTTCAAGATCTCGATGAAAAAGGAACTTACTTTGAGAATGCCCTTTTCCGGGTCTGAAGCTATATCAGGAATAGTCGAACCCGCCATCAGATGAAACAGATTCAGAATAAGATTGCTCGATTTCCGAAGGATGTTGTATGCTTCACAACAATAGGATTTAAACCTCGTGTAGTATTGGCTGCAATGAAAAACATAATGAGTAATCAGTAAAAGGGTTTTTGACATTTCAAGTGGTGATGCTGGTGAGTGCTCAAATTCGATGCTTGTTCAAGCAGAGATACATCTGTTTCATGATAGTCAGATGAAGGAGTTTTCAAAAAGTGTGTACCTTTCTGCTCCACCCATGGCTTCTACCATTTCTTTGCACAGTTTCATCGGGGGAGGGAATGGTTTAGGATCTCGTCCAAGAATAAACGCAAAATCCACGTGGAAAAGGCGGCCATCGTCAGTGAGGAGGAGGTTGTCCAGGTGTCTGGCAAATCAAAGGGTAACGAGTATGGCATATATTATATTTCGATCAGTATCTCGAGCATAATATGAACCAAGGGTCAGTTTATCAAGCAAGAAATATGATGAATGCCATTGAATCGATCCAACAAAATGGTTTATACTTAACCTGTCTCCAATCCCCAGTATATATGTGATAACAGAATAGCCAGCACAGCTTTTTATAAATGTCTCAAGACAGGTGGCTGTTATACCGAAAGGGCCATGCTCATCAGGATGAAATTTCTGCAGATAACTCGTTATACTCCGGTGCTCCGAGAGAATCTGAGCAAGGAAAAACACACTTGTTAGGAAGTTAACCGAAAATTTGTACGGTAAATCAGATCTAAATCCACAACAGCCAGTGATTTCTGCACTGATATGGTACTTGAGCCAGAGATCGGGATGGTATGAATTCCAACATTCCTTCATCGTGCCCTGTTGCTAATACTTTGTATGGAGTTAGGCAAAGATCGAGATTTTCCAGCTTAAGTAGTCTATCCATGAGCCAGACCATTTGGACAACCTGTAGGAAGTGGCGTGTTCAGTCAAGAACTGTCTTAAGGATGCATATTCTTTTATGCAACAAACTTTTTCCATACCAGTTGGTCTTGCCTGATATCATCCCCCTTCTTAAATATAACCTTGCAACTTCCACCATTTTCTGTACGAAACGTGAGGCGTAAAGGGTGCAAAGCACTTTTAAAGATCGTTGATTCTGATGCCACAATCCCAGTTATAAGAACACTTGGAGTAAGTGGTGATCGAATAGGCTGAAAATAAACAACCAAATCAAAAGACGATCCAATAGTCAGGGAGATAAACTCTGACTTGCACACGTTCATCACATTAAACATAAAAGAACTAGTTTTCAATATTGTCTACCGTGAAAGTACCTCTTCAAAGTAGGTGAGTTCGCTAAGTAATCCAGATAGAAGCTGCCTAAGCTTCTCGATTTTTTTCTGGGTATTTCCCCGTACATTCCTCACATCCCGTGTAATGGAACACAACTGAGCAGTCAATTCTGTCTGTCGTACCAAACTTTGCCACAATTTATATCCATCTTCTCCATTCACACCAGGCCGCAACTGTCATAAAAACATATGTGTTGTAGAGTAGCCGAAACAAATCAAGCTAGACGTATAAAATGGCTGAATTCCTTGCCCTGAGAAGGATTTGCATATTATCTTTTAGCTGCTTCATGCAGTCTAGCTTTATTGAGAAACAAAAAGTCAGACCAAGTTCAAGATTTGCTTGCCCATCACTAAGGAAGGAAGATCAATCTACATATCCTATCCAGCCAATCTTACCCGATGAAATGTTAATGAGGACAGAACACAGAAAATGAAGTAAATAAAAGTTTAGATCTACCTTGATCATTTTCTCCTCGAGAAACTCATATGTGCTGTAAAATCGCTTTGCATAGACATGATCATGCAGCTCCACAGCAACATACCAACGGAGAAAGCTGGCCAGCTCAATATTCCGTAAAGCTACAAATTTTAGGTAGCCACAAAAGAAGCCATTCCACCAATGAGTTGTAGAAAAGAAAGAAAACATGACAGAGGGTTCATCATGATTTGACAGTTAAAAGTTGAGCACATACACCGTTGGACAAGAAACTGAGAAAGGCGAGATCTATCAGAGCGTTCAAAACGAAGAGCCTGAACCAGTTGAAGCAAATAACACTGGAGTTCTTCATCATCAGCCCTCTCAAGGACACTCACAGCATAAGCTCGAACCTATTAGCAAGAGTAATAAGGAGTTAAGCCTACATCTAGATGTACCAGGATGACAAGTAAGCAGATCTGGTAGAAAATTAAAATACGAAAGTAGGGGAAGCTGTACCTCTTCACTTTCAAATAGAGGAGATAATAGCTCCAGGGCATCACTGACATCTATCATTTCCCATTTGCTCATTAGGTCAACTGCTTGCTTTGCTTCCTGGCAACACGGAGATATCAAGTTACGTGACAAAGAGTAAGAATCATAAAAATATACTGGCAATCAAAAGGAATGCCTACCTGAACATCACCCCATTCCACACACCGAAGGAACTTTGTGAGAGCCCTCTTTTCAGACATTAGTGAGAAACGGAACTTCCACAGGAGTTGCCTTTCATCTCCACTCAATGCTCTTGTTGGCGGGTATTTCAGAATTCTTTGGATTGACCTTTCAAAGCAGAAAATTTGAAGAAAGAAAAAAACAACGGTTTCTCATGAGTTCATATGTTACTATATTGCAGATTAATAATATTGAGGAATGAAAACAATGTTTTGCCTAAGATAATGTGCATAACTTCAGTTCAACAGGACCAAAAAAAAAGTAACATGGTCTTAACCTACACAGCATCCAGACTTACCTCCGTTCATTAGCACTTGGCTTGAGATCCCTGTCAATAATGCCACGATCCAAGCTTCTTGCCAGTTTTAGTTGCTTGTGCTCTGAGGGATTTATCTTTCCCAGTTCTGGGTCCCAAACAGAAACTAGTTCATTTGTTGAACCTATTGGGGTAGTTATGAAGAAATTGGCTCCAGACTCCTAGAAAATGGAACATTGCCCCGTGATCGTTTCAATATAGAAAGACACATTATGTAGAATCTCTGCAGTCCAACAGGGATTGATATGACACAAAAGACAGGTATACTAGCAGTGAATATGGCACCTGAAATACAACTCGATGTTCAAAACTGTAGAAATCAACGACCAAGTACTGATATGAACCGCCAGTTTTAGAGCTGTCTTGATCCTTGATCCTATCCACCGCCTTCAGCATAAGTCGGTCCAGCCATTCAATGTGTTGGATCTGCCCTCTCTCATACTTATTCATGAGTTTTTCCAAACGTTCTAGCTCCCCACGCTCATGCCTTGGAACCTATGTGACAAAATGCAGAACAGAACAATCATCCCCCTGAATTTTGAATGATACACAGACACATAAGAATAATTTGAAACCTTTCCAGGGGTAGAGGTAGGAAATGAGCCATCTGCCTCTTTCCCATGCCAAAGCCTAAGCTTTTGCTTTCCGGTTTTCAGTTGCATTTTGCTGTTAAAGAGAAGAACTGTTGCCCCACCGATTAGTCCCTCGGCTTTCCCACGAGAAACATCCCAAACCTGATATCAAAACAAACATTTTCAGCCAAAGAAAAAGAAAAAACAGAAAGCGAGAATGTATACGAAGCAACACGGCCGGCTTTTAGTTTACTGTTATAGCAAGTTGTGAATGGGTAGTCAAGTCCCGATATTTCGCACTGAGAGAGATGAGTTCATTCCAGCAATATGGTGGTCCTGTAGTTTTCAATCTGAAATTAAGAACAAAACTAGATGTAACAAACTGTGCTTCCACAAAACATTAGAAAGACACAGCAACATCAAGCCCAGTGAAGAAGAAAATTTCTACGAAACAGAAACAGAGAAACCTTGTTCTCATGGGAAGGCCGAAAGGAGCGCCATCGATATATAATGCACATTCAACATACAGCTCTGGTTTGTTGTCCTCTGCACCTACTGCCAACCAATCAAAGATAAACGACAACATCAACCATCTAAAATCTCGAGCAAAAGCAAAAAAAAAAAAAAAAAAAGGAACGGAACCCAGAAAAAAGACTGATCATAAGAGTCAATCGGTATGTACGGAATCTGAGGAATAAGCTTCAGGTGATTATATCAAGAGCTAAACCCATTATACAGTATTATTGATTCAGCAATAGGAAAGTATAATATGCATACAAACCTCCGCAAACATGATCACAAAATTGAGCCTTAGTTTCAAAAATTTAAACATTTCGACTTATATTATCCAACTTATACACTAAATCCACCAAGCACTAAAAAGTTCCCAGAATTTACTTGAATATTGAATAGTTCACTATATTTAAATATCTAGGATTCGAAACCAGAAGATGAAGCATACAGCGATTGCACTCTCTATGGAGAAGTTGTAGAATCTGGGCATGAATTAGAAACATAATTCTTCTCGATTTCTTCAATCAGTGATAAATGCAAAGTCGAAATCGAAATTTTTGCGCAGAGTAATTTCGGAACTAAGAAACACCCGAAGATTCAACTATAAAGAAAGATCAAGAATCGGAGAGCAAAATACGAAGTAAATTCAACAGACCCGGATCAGTCGGTTGCTTATCCAAAAGAGCTCCATCCAGTTTCTCGACGCGAAAGGTGACCGGTGAATTGATATCGCACGACAAGAAAAAACGAAACTCGTTAGCTCCCATGGCGATGATTCAGGAAAACGAGATAAGGGTTTACGTCAGGGGAGAGAAATCCGCCATTGACAGGCTTAACGAGATCTGACAGACGATAGAGAAGAGGAAAGAGATTGACGGCGGCGAAGCTTGGCAGAGGCTGAGATCATGCGAGAGGATCAGAGAGACATGGCGAAGACAGGACTAGAGGACTCAAACGAATAGATGGATTAATAAAACTAATATAACATCGTAAAATTTTCAAATTAATTAATATAATTATAATTAATACTCTGAAATTCATTTAAATCAATACAGTATTTCGTCGTCGTAGTTATACAAAGGTTCTCCTGACTGTACTTCAACATTCGTGTATACTTCGATGTCTGCGTATAAATTTGAAAAACTAAATCAAATTATACATAATATACAACGAATTTTATATAATAATTGATTTTATATAATTTTCTTAACGAATTATTCAATCTGTAAATTCCAAATCTCCAAAAACTGATATTATCCAAAAGATTTAATGTTTTTTAATGTTAAACGATCTGGTTAGGATTAATTTGTTATCTGTCAAATTGTATAAACTTTAATAAAATGAAATACAAATTATATAATAATTTATTTTTTTTCTTATACGTGGATTCTAAATTTGTGAAAGATTATTGTATCTAAAAGGTTAACTTTTCATGGCTCAGCCTCTCCTATATAGGATCAACAATTTAACAAGTTATGTCAAACAAAATCAAAATCGAATAATCTTATATGATTTGTATAACTTTATTTAAACCGTTGTTTTGCATTACGTAAAAGATATTGTATCAAGTTGGATGTTGTTTAATTAAATTGAATTGTTAACATCTAAAGGGAGTGATATTTTCTTAAAATGTGTTTAATTTTATTGAATTGGGTTTATTAAAATCGAAAATGAGTGTTACTTTATTAAAAGAAATCTATTAAATCAATTAAAAAATTAAATTTGAAATGAAAGATTTTTAGAAAATAGATGTTGTCAAAACGAAACACAATACAAAATACAAAAAAAAACAGTGTTTAGATTTGATTCTGAATAATTTAAATTTATAGGACTGAATTCACAAAAAAACATAAACAAATATAAGGAATACCACACACCCAAAATGAAATTGTATTTGCAAAAAAAAAAAACAGTTTCATAATATATAATTCTGTATTAAAATCTAGCTATAGTGTTTTATATAATTTTTTTTGTTTGGTTTTTTTGGTTATATCGAGGTGATCCTTAACCACGTTTAACTTTGAACCGACAGTTTTAAACCTTGTACATTTAAACTAATTTCCGTTTGTCTCTGTATCAGCACACTAAACGGTAAAAGATTGGCTTGAAAGATAATTCTATTCTCAATGTAGAGTTCGAACCTGACCGATTAAGGGATAAAGATGCTTCATCTATACCAACCCTTTTATATAAATTTCATTTAATCGTAGTCTCATTTTAAATTAAACAACTCCCTAATTTAGTCTCTTTCTTTTTTCTGGCTGAGTTTGGATTCGATAAAAAAAAAAAATAGGTAATAAAGTTCCATCTCGTAAGGGTGGAGTACGACGTCGTTCAAAACAAAGAGCACTCGCGATTGGGAAACGTTTGGGTGTGACGAGAGCAGCGTACACCCGCATCTGACAGAATCATAGAGCCGTCAGATCACGCGTGCTTTCCGAATCACGTTCGCTGCAGCAAAACCCCATGGTTCGAGATCTCGTTCTTGACACGTGTCGCGTATCTAGCCGACCGCACTCTGCCACGGTTTTTCTTGTCCGCTGGATACGAAACCACTAGATTTCGTAGAACCTAATAATTTAAACTTTAAATCTCCATTAATTATAAATATTAAAAATGCCAAAAAACCCTTCCCTTTTCTCAAACCACCTAATAAAATTTAAATTACACATAAATACAAATAAATATTAGTATTCGAATTTATAAATAACAAAAATTCAATTGGATGTTAATAAAAATTAATTGATTTTTTTGGTTTTTTAAAAGAAAAGAGTTTATTTTCGAAAAAAATTATGAAGTTTTTAAATCATTTTGATGACGAGAATAATAATAATAATATTTAAATATATGTCACTTTGAAAAAGATCCAAACTAATTCATAGGACTTATTTTGTAAACATCTGTGGCGAAAATCCCATTGTTATCATCGAGAATCAGAAAACCACCAAAAAACTCGTTGCCTCGAAGTACTGTTGAAAAAACATAGTTACAGTTTCTCTCTCTCCAGAAGTAGAAACCTATGCAAACACCGTCACATAAAACACTTTGAACACGATCTGCACTCCGTTTCTATATTTCCTCCGAAGTCTCTGGTATATATATTTTCTTTGTTGGGTCTCAATGCATATTTGTTCCGAAGATGGATTCTTCGAAGAAACTCGTCTTCTCCGACCAGATTCTCTCTTCGAGGAGAAAGATCTTAACCAGATTCGGACTCGGCATTGCAGTTTCCCTCGCTTTTCTGACGCTTCTCTTGCTTACTAACTCCTCCAATGTCCCTCTTGTCTCTTCATCTCCATTGTTCCAAGCTTTTCGTGGCTCCAATCTCAACCCGTCAACTGCTTCTTGGCGCTTCTCCTTCCCTGGTTCTTCCTCTGTCAAGCAAGTCGATAACAGTACACAAGGATCGGATTTTTCCGATGATAAAGCCTCAAGCTTTAGTGTAGAACAAAGATCTGAAGCAACAGGGGGTGTTCCTATTCCTGTTCCTGTTCCTGTTCCTATTCCTGTTCCTGTTCCTGCCCAGATTGCAAATTTATCAGAAGATGTCGGAAAACGAACGAGTGACCAGAAAACCCTTGAATCAAATGCGATACCTTCCGCAAATAGCTCGACTTTGGTCTCTGATTTCGGTGGGAAGGTTTCGCTGGGCAATGGTTCTGAGACAGTGGCGAAGAACTACGAAGAGGGTAATTTCACAAGTGAAGTGAAAGAGAATCAGAGTGATGGAACCAGAGATTCGTACGAGGATTGTGATATATATGATGGAAACTGGGTGAGAGTGGATGATGAGACGATGCCGTACTATCCACCAGGTTCATGTCCGTACATAGACAGAGATTTCAACTGTTTTGCTAATGGTAGAACCGATGATGCTTTTGTTAAATGGAGATGGCAGCCAAATGGGTGTGATATTCCCAGGTAAAGTTTCTATTTTTGTCCCGAAAAATCTCTATCTCGCTTATATGTCTTCGAGATTTGCGTGACTTCAGTTAGGGTTTCGCTTGATTTTTGGTGAAATTAGTTTTGAATTGGTAATAATTTCCTCCTGTATAGTTCATGTTGATCCAAGTAAAGCAACCGAGTGATCATGCTGGGTTTCAGAGAGATGGGTGCTTAATAGTATACAATGTTGGATTCAAGGAAACAAGGGCTTGATGAATCTCTCAAGGCCTGAAAATATGGATCATGAATGGAAAATTCTGGAAATTTTGATCTGGGAATCTGTTTTTTATGCTGGTTTATGCGTGTGGTATATAAAGGTTGAATGCAACCGATTTCTTGGAGAAGCTGAGAGGGAAGAAACTGGTTTTCGTGGGGGATTCAATAAACCGGAACATGTGGGAGTCTCTGGTTTGCATTCTTCGCCATAGCCTCAAGAACAAGAAAGCAGTATACGAGATCTCGGGGAGGGGAGAATTCAAGAAGAAAGGGTTTTACGCGTTCAGATTCGAGGCAAGATCGGACACAGAATCTCTATAGATTTGTTTTGTAAAACACAACTCGTTTACTTGGGTTTCTGAATCGTGAAGTTCTGATCTTTCTTTCTTTTTTCGCAGGACTATAATTGCACGGTGGATTTCGTTGGTTCGCCGTTTCTCGTTAGAGAATCAAGCTTCAAAGGCGAAAATGGAACCTTTGAAACTCTAAGGTTGGATCTGATGGACAAGACGACATCGATGTATCAAGATGCAGACATCTTGGTCTTCAACACGGGTCATTGGTGGACTCATGACAAGACAAAGCTCGGGTGAGCTCCTCGTTTTGTCAGAAGAAAAAAACGATCAAATTTTCATGTTACTAAGCATGGATTTGAGTTTCTGAAGAGGAATTTGATTTTCTTTTTCGGTGTTACAGAGAAAACTATTATCAGGAAGGTAATTACGTGCACCCGAGGCTCAAAGTCTTAAAAGCATATAAGAGAGCTCTCATGACTTGGGCGAGATGGGTCGACCAGAATATTGATCGAAATCGAACCCACGTTATATTCCGAGGATATTCCGTTACACATTTCAGGTATACACTCAGCTCGATTCTCTCTTTTCTCTAAGCTCCGTTGCTGTTTTTATACGTCCTATACAGTTAAATATGATTATTGGTATGAAATATGATCGTTAACGCCAATATCTAAGAAATTTAACCTACGCTTCCCACGTAACGAGTCCATATATTTTCATGCACGTTACAGCGACTATACACACAAGAAACGTTTTACCTAAAATCTTCTACCTCTCAAAACACATACTCAAATCTCGCTCGTCGAGATTTACGCCCGCACTGTCCGTTAATTTGCGTCCATAAGGTCCGTTGTCATGTTCATACCTCCCAAACTGTGAACCCGGTTAACGGGTAGAGATGCGCAGATGATTCTTGGCGATGAAATACATTCGGTAACGTCAATATCTTCTCCATACAATGCTATATTTACCCCTCAAACACACGGTCTCGCTCGACTAGATTATCAAAGGTCTGGGGGATTTGAGTTTGGAGACGTTTTTTTTTTGTTTTTTTTGCAGAGGAGGGCCGTGGAACTCGGGAGGGCAATGCCACAGAGAAACAGAGCCAATATTCAACAAGAGATACTTGGCCAAGTACCCGTCGAAAATGAGAGCGTTGGAATACATTCTCCGGGATGAGATGAAAACGCCGGTGATATATATGAACATAAGCCGGTTGACGGATTTCAGGAAAGACGGGCATCCGTCGATATACAGAAAGGTTTATGAGACGGAGGGGGAGAGAAGAGAGGCAGTGAGCCATCAAGATTGTAGCCACTGGTGCTTGCCCGGCGTTCCTGATACTTGGAACGAGCTTTTGTACGTTTCTCTTTTGAAAAAGGCAAGGATAGTGTCTTCTGCTTAGGACTACTCTCTTTATAAATGTAGATAACATTGTCATATGGCAATTTCACACTCAAATTCGTCAAATTGTGTGGTATGATCACGGATTTGATGTTGATTGCATATATATATATATATATATATATATATATATTGTATTAGATGGGGGATTTTTTATATTCGGTTTGGATTTATTTTGGTATTTGTTCTGTTCATCTGGTTATATAAAAATATATATCAATTAGTTTTATTTCCGGTTCAATTCATTTTTTATTTTTAGATATATATATATATATAAAGAGTTTTTTATTTTTCGAATTTTTTAAAATTCGGTTTCGATCATTTCAGTTAAGTTATTATAGTTTGATATTTTTTTACGGTTCGTTTTGAAAACCATATTAAATTTTTCGGTTTGGTACAATTTAGTTATAAGTAAAGGTACCGGAAGTATAGGACCCTAAAGTCTATTATTTTCAAAATCCCTCGGAATTGAATTTTAACCAGAGTATAAATACTGTGCTATTTTCGAATTCCCTCGGAATTCAAATTTCGAAGATGACGAGGTCTCCGAGTGTAGCAGCGGCGGAGCACAGCCGTGAAACCGCGGCGGTTGCAGATTCTTCTTCTTCCCGGTGGTTGATCGGGTTCGCTCGGTTTGTTCCGTATCCGTATGCATCCTCCTCTCTTCCACTCCTCGTCCCTCTCACGGAGAAGATCCGGCATCGCTCGCCACGTGGCACCTGGATGTCGGCCTCGCCGGCTTCGGCCACCGTTTCTTTCCGGATTTCGGCCGACGCCTCCATCTCCGACGCGATCCTCGCCGTGGAACTCGACGGGAAGGTCCTTGTGAGTATAGTACTCGGTTGTTAAAAAAATTCGAAGGAGCGATGCTAATAATTTGATCTTCCTGGTTTCGTTAGATTGGTTCTGAATCTGGGATTGTTTAGGTCAATCGATTCTGTTTGGATTCTCAGAAACTGAAAGAAGAAATGATGCAAAATAGTATGCGATGTTTGATGTTTTCTCGTTGAAGGAAGAGAAAAACGACTCATTCCATTTGATGCTATTCATGTTGGATAACAGTTCTCATGCGGAATCCAACTTACCTCAACTTCACTTTCTGTTGTGTCATCCTTGTTTGAACCCGGAAAATTCTCCATTGCTGCAGGAAGAACACTACACATCCAAGCTGAATTTCTCGTGGCCCCAGATGAGTTGCGTTGCTGGGTTTCCGCCTCGCGGTAGCAGAGCCATTTTCGTTAGCTACAAGGATTCTGCTAATGAGGCAAGGTTCTAATCACAACTATTTTTTTTAGAAATCACACTAAAGGCTTACCAAAGTAGCCCGTGTAAAGTTAGAAATTGATTGCCGTTGATGTCTTGTAACATTAAACCGTGTTCCAATGATGATGCTTATTATGTATTTTCTTCTCCAGATTCAGAAATTCGCTTTGCGGTTCGCTACTTGTGATGCAGCAGAGACCTTTGTGGAAACTTTGAAGGTTATAACCGCTGTGACAAGGACTGTCTTGCATGTTAATCGGATAGAATGATCATAGTAAATATGTTATTGATAACTCTGAGTTTAGCCTCTAAGTTTCTTTCTTTGAGTGAGATACAGATGCTTGTTTGTCCTTTTACAGGAGAAAGTGAAGGGTTTAGGGGAAGTTGCTGGGACTCAGAAAAGTGACTATAAATCTGAAATTTCGTTTGAGTCAGATCGCATGTCTTCAAACAAGATCATCCCCAGGTTAGAGCATAGACATATAGCAATGGCATTGCATTTTTTGAGAAAAAAACAATCTCAGTATTTAGATATGATCAATGATATTTGCAGAGAAAGTAAGGAAGATCCAGAAATTGTCATCCCTCTTGACAGTTACATCCCTGAAATGCCACCGAGAATCGAGTATGAAGTTGAGCAGCAAGTCGGGCTTAGTCACATCCCCAACAAGGCTTCTACCGCTCTCCCTCCAAGTTTCACCACATTACTCTCTGAGTGTTTCTCCCAAGCCAATCAAGGTACATTACACACACATATATGTACACATGCACTTTTGCTGTTTAGGTCGAAAAATCTCTCCAAATCCCATGCAATTACCATGTTTTACTCCATGAAACCCTGATGTAGGTGCAGACCCAACAACTGTGAAAGAGAATTCTGATCTAAAGCTTCAAATAATGGTATTCAAAAGAACAAAAAAACAACACTATCCATTTTCATGAACCTTTGGCAGATCAAGATTCTTACCCTTCGTCTTTCTTGGTCGTTTTTTTTTGCTTTCTTTTGCCACAGAGGTACATGGAGGATTCCTCATTTCAAGGTGAGCTTATCTTCAAACTCACTTACTAGCCACTGCCCTTATCCTAACCTTCTTCGAATCAAATACCACCTTATGGTCTTGAGTTGGGATGAATACTTTCCATATCAATACATTGGTTTAACCATCAAAACAAACACCAGCTGAGATACAAGCGATACAAGATCTGCACGCCATAACTTATCTTCTTTAAAAATCATTAGGAACTGTTCTTATTCGCTTGTGTACTTATGATCCAGATATGCTGCTCAAAGTGGACAAAATTATCGACGAAATCGGAGGTAACTGGATTTTCTGAGTTTCCTCGATTCATTGCTCCTACCTTTTTTTTTTTGTCTAAATCCCGAGTTTTAATAGTATATATGATCGTGTTTCTACTATGAATGTTCATAGTATCAGTTTCTCTCTTTCCTCGATTCATTCGATCATATTTTAAACTGTCTGCCTTCGTTTTTGATGTATGGAGATGTTAGCTTTAGCTTCGTGGTTTGGTTGGTTTTCCCCCCTCTTTTCGGCCGTGCATAAACATTATAGCTTTTCCATTAGTCAAATGTTAAATGCACAAATGGAGGGTATTTGATCCTATCCGATTTGGTCCGAAAGTTATAAAATTTGGGTATACAAATTATACAGATTGAGTTTGGATAATGTATGAATAATATTCGAAAGTTCGGATATGATTTTTTTGATTTTTCATTTTAGAATTAAAATCGTAAAAACATCTCTAATATTTATAAAACTTAAAACTTATGAAACGATGGTTAGTACTTCTTAAAATTGTCTTTTTAAAATTATAAAATTTTATATTTATGAAAAATTATTCGTAATTTTTACTTCGATTTGTGAATACATATATATCGTTTTGAATTTATATATTGGAAATATTCTTAATATATAATAACGGATTTGTATCTTAAGTATTTCTTAGAGTTTTAACTCTGAGTTAACCATCAAATTCTTATACAATTCTATTATATTCAAAATTTACCATTTCTGAGTAAAAATGAAATCATGTGGAGTAAAAATTTACAAAAACGACACCGTTTTGCTGGAATAGTAACAATAGTCGCTCTCATTGCTAATTTGCCAAATTTCGTCGGTTCTCTTTTTCGTTTGGCTCCATTTATTATTAACCCCCACGAACACGAAATAATCAGATCGTGGAAGATCACTGCAAAGAACAATCGCGGAATGGAAACTTCAAGACCTAGTTTAGATTTTCACTGCTTCTTCCTCTAGATGTTCGTCGTTCTCCTCCGTCCAGAAGCTTACGGATTCATTCAGATCTCCCGAGTAATCCCGATCTGATTCCCTATCCTAGAACCACCGACGACGAACAATGGTGGGGGCGGCCTCCGCTCTGTTTCTTCTCGACATCAAGGGCCGAGTTCTCGTTTGGCGCGACTACCGCGGCGATGTCTCCGCCGTTCAAGCCGAGCGCTTCTTCACCAAGCTCATCGAGAAAGAGGTGAATCTCGATTTCGTTTCCCCCTGTCTGATTCGGTGTCTGGTTGTTGAGGAAATGGAGGAAAATTCGAAGTAGTTTATGGGAACGATGGATTTGAATCTATTTCTCCGAATTGGATTTGTAACGATTGGAAGTAATGGATGAGTTTGATCCGTAGTTAAGTTACGTGATCGAGAATGGATTAGAATCCAATCTGCATCGTCGTAACAGTTGGTACCTTCCAATCGAATAGGGAAGCTTTTTTTTTTCCGAGTAAATGGAGGAAAATCCTAGATTGTGAATGGAAATGATGGATTTGTATCTGTTCTATGAATATGATTTGAAGCGATTGGAAGTGATGAATGAGTTTGTTCTTTGGTTAAGTGACGGAGATTTGATTAGAATCCGATCTGCAAAGGCATAATATGCTTTGCAATTTCTTATTGTCGGTAATGTGTTATTGTACAGGGTGATTCACAATCGAATGATCCAGTTGCTTATGATAATGGAGTGACCTACATGTTTGTACAACATAGTAACATTTATCTGATGATAGCATCAAGGCAGAACTGTAACGCCGCCAGCCTTCTCTTCTTCCTCCACCGTGTAGTCGATGTAAGCATTACATGCCAATCCTCAGTTTTTGTTTTTGTATAAAAAAGAAAACCTCGAAGGAAGTTGTGTTTTTTTATTTGATTTGAATAGTTGTCATACTTCCTGTACTGGATACAGGTCTTCAAGCACTACTTTGAGGAGCTTGAGGAGGAATCACTGAGGGATAACTTTGTTGTAGTGGTACGTTAAGGCTTCATCCATCTCTCTTATTAATCTCTTGTCACTTTAGCCTTTTTATCTTCTTTTGCATGGACAGTTGAGCAGATTCTCATTGTGTGATGCTGAAAATGGATTTCTGGTTCTGGCAGTATGAATTACTTGATGAGATGATGGACTTTGGTTACCCTCAGTATACTGAAGCAAGAATCCTTAGTGAATTCATCAAGACCGACGCATATAGAATGGAAGTTACACAGAGACCTCCGATGGCTGTTACCAATGCTGTCTCCTGGAGGAGTGAGGGTATACAGTACAAGAAGAATGAAGTACGCTTTGTTCTCCAGCAAGGAGCGTTCTCTCTTTTGTGGCTAGGCGTGCAAATGATAATATACCACTCTATTTTGTTTTTCAGGTTTTCTTGGATGTCATAGAAAGTGTAAATATTCTTGTCAACAGTAATGGGCAAATTGTCAGGTCTGATGTCGTTGGAGCATTGAAGATGCGAACTTACTTAAGGTGTGTCAGTCTGTAGTGTTCTTTATTAACCAAGGCCCAGACTATGAACGGGTTTATCTTCTTTGTTTTTTACTCTAGTTTGCTCTGAATCCATGTTTTTGCAGTGGAATGCCAGAGTGTAAGTTAGGCCTGAATGATAGAGTACTGCTGGAAGCACAGGGACGGGCAACAAAGGGAAAAGCCATAGATTTGGAGGATATCAAATTCCATCAGTATGTTTTTTAAGCCTCTGTTCTATCAGAATTTTGAACATTATCTGATGAATACTGCTTTCTTTCAAATCAAAGAGATACAATGCTTGGATTTTATCTATTTCTGTCTTCATCACGTGGTGTTTTTGATGTAGGTGTGTTCGATTGGCCCGTTTCGAAAATGATAGGACAATATCCTTCATTCCACCTGATGGATCTTTCGATTTAATGACATATAGACTCAGTACCCAGGTTTGACATGTGGAATATTTCTGACAATTCTTTTCCCTCTTTAACAAGTATATCTCATTGTATTTATCTTCTGCAATCATTATTCAGGTCAAGCCTCTTATTTGGGTCGAAGCTCAGATAGAGAGGCACTCGAGAAGTCGTGTTGAGATGCTTGTAAAAGCTAGGAGTCAGTTTAAGGAACGAAGGTAAAACATCTACATCATCTCATGACCTCTCTCTTTTACTGGTTCGTATGTTAAGATTCTGTTCAGCTTCTTCAAATGTTTGAACGAGAATTCTCTCTGCAGTACCGCAACTAATGTTGAGATTGAGTTGCCCGTTCCACAAGATGCATCTAACCCTAATGTGAGGACTTCTCTTGGTTCTGCCGCCTATGCTCCTGAAAAGGATGCACTCGTCTGGAAAATCAAATCATTCCCCGGGAACAAGGCAAGCACTTCTAATTTCTATCTCCCTTCTTTTATTCCAATATTATGTCCTAAATTCATGCATTTCAATATAGCAAACTTCATGTCAGGCTTTAATATAGTGATGCATCAAAAATTTTGATTCTGACTTGAACTTGTGAACACAATTTAGGAGTATATGTTGAGGGCAGAGTTCCATCTTCCAAGTATAACAGCGGAAGAAGCTACACCAGAGAGGAAAGCACCTATCCGAGTCAAATTCGAGATACCATATTTCACTGTTTCAGGAATTCAGGTAAATCATGCCCATGACAATTGATTTTCATCAAACCAATCTGGTTTCTAATTCTCTCTTCCGAATCATATCAAAAATTAAAACCGAACAAAAAGTTGAATATCTTGGAATACCAACGTCTCTGTCACACATTTCCATGCATGTAAACCCCAAAGCATCGGTATATCATAGATTATAATTGTATCAACTGGGTGGATGCTAAAATCCCCAAAATCAGCAATAACTAAGAATGTTCATCTCCATGTGCTTCTGTTGATGGATTTTGTAGGTCCGATACCTGAAGATCATCGAAAAGAGCGGGTATCAAGCACTTCCGTGGGTGAGATACATAACCATGGCTGGTGAATATGAACTAAGGCTCATGTAAGATCAGATCTTTTATCTTAATTCTGGTGGTTGTCAATTCTCGCCATTGTGATCCCCCCAAACCCTCGTGAAATCGCCTAAAGCATGAGCAAAGTGATAAGATTCTGCAAAATGAAGAAAATGAGAGTGAAAAAAAGAGACCATTCGAAGTTTGTTTAGCTGATGAACTCGCGTTGAATGGTAGGGATGGTTCCTGTTGTTCCCAAATGGTGTTAGCAATTTATTAAGAAGCCGATGTTCTTGTGAGTTCTCCAATGCTTTATTTTATACGCCTATTTTCTCAATGTAAGATCTTCCACATTGTTTTCACTGCATTCTCTGCGTCGTAAAAATGACGAGACAGCGACCTTTTGTGAATTCGGGTATTGGTTAGCCTTAGGGTTGCATGGTATCAAGGGTACCTTGCCCTTATTAGGGGTGTAAAACGGGCCGGCCCGGCTCAGCCCAGCCCGGCTCGTTCCGATCTGAAAAAAAATTTAGTCTAGCCCAACCCGACCCGTTTTTTAGCGAGCCATAAATATATCAGTCCAACCCATATCGTCTTAGCCCGCGAGCCAAACGAGTCGGCCTGTGAGCCAAAGATATAATTTTTAAAAATAAAATTTTAATACTAAAAATATTTAAAACTAATTTTCATATTTAAAAAATATTTAAAATGTAATAAAAAATAAAATTTTAAACAAAAACAAACTAAATATGTAATAAAAAATATAATTTGTATATAAAAATATTTAAAATATATAAAAATATTAAAATATTAAAAAAAAAAAATTGGCCTGCGAGCCAGTCCGGCCCGTGACGAGCTGGCCCGCCCCGAGGTTTAAAAATAAAATTTTAATACTAAAAATATTTAAAACTAATTTTCATATTTAAAAAATATTTAAAATGTAATAAAAAATAAAATTTTAAACAAAAACAAACTAAATATGTAATAAAAAATATAATTTGTATATAAAAATATTTAAAATATATAAAAATATTAAAATATTAAAAAAAAAAAATTGGCCTGCGAGCCAGTCCGGCCCGTGACGAGCTGGCCCGCCACGAGTCGGACTCGTGACGGGCTGGCTCGTTTGGCCCGGTTTTTTGTGGGCTCAAATATTTTGAGCCTAGCCCAGAAAAATATGAGCCGGCCCGCGATCCGTGGCTCGTTTTACATCCCTAGCCCTTATTGTGTGGTTCGATTATTTCGATTTTTTTAAAGAAAATTATGAATATTTAGTTCGGCTCCTTCTATTTAGTTCAGTTTTGGTTGTTATTAACAAAAATAATCCATTTTTCCATATAAACTTGGGGTTTTTCGATCATTTTTTCATTCAGTTTGAGTTTGATATTTTCGATTCTAGGAAAATAAAATCATTATCATTCGATTTATTTATCATAAGGTGGGTTTGGTTTGATTATACGACTATTAACCAAATTATTCATAGTGAAACAAATGGATTAAAACAATATGCAGTGTCGTTTTAAGGAATGCTATGAGGTATCGTGTTTTGTGCTGTTTTAAATGCTATTTTTGATATTTGAGGTTTCTGTTGTACTTATAATTTGATTCTAATTGTTTAATCTTGTGAATAATTGGTGTCTAATTCCTCTAATAATAGCCAAGTTGGTGATTTAATCAGCCAAATAGTTTAGTTGCAATGAAAAGGTATCTTCGAAATTGTAGTTACATGGACTAAAAAAAGGCCTTTCAGAAAGCCCAACGAAAAGGCCGAAAACATCAAGATTATGAGACGTAAGCTTAATTAAAAGTAAGGTGTAAGCCCTTGAAGAAAAAAGGCCCATTTTTAGATCGTCTCATTCGTGTCTCTCGAAGCAATTCAGCATTAGGTTTTTACTGAACCTGCGTCCAAACTCTGAAAACCACACTCTCTGTGTCGTTCTGAGATTTGTTCTCCGTTGGTTGGGCGACAATGGCGATGCGACAGCTAAGTCGGACGAAGAACGTGGCGAAGAGATCGACGAAGAAGTACCTGGAAGAACCGCTTTATCATCGGCTATTCAAAGATGGTAGTTCGGAGGTTAGCGTTCGGCAGCAGCTGAATCAGTTCCTCAAGAGCTCCAAAAGCGTTTTCAAATGGGAGGTCGGCGACACCATCAAGAAGCTCCGAAGCCACAGGCTTTATTACCCTGCACTCAAGGTTTCAACTCCAAAACCAATCGAAATCATTGAAATATGTTTATTCCGGCTGAGTGAAAGCTCGTTGGAACCTTCTTCGATTTTCTTGGGAGGATGCTTCAATGGCCCTGTTTCGCTTGATCTTGTTGAGTGAATATAGAAATGGATATTGGTTTTATTTTTTTCGTGGTAGCTTGATGCTAACAGTTGAAAATGTAGTGATTATTGGAATAGCCATTTCAAGAGCAGATGTATGATATTTATAGTTAGTTTGATGCTTTGAGTTTTGGGTTACTTTCCAATTTGTGGGAGTTCTGCCTATTCGCACTCCTGATAGAGAATTCATGTCTTTTGTTGTTCTTGGCTTTTGCAGCTCTCCGAAGCTATGGAAGATAGATGTATGAACAAGACGGTGAGCGATCAAGCTATCCATCTCGACCTTGTTGCCAAAGCTCGGGGAATTGCTGCTGCGGAGAATTACTTTGTCGATCTTCCAGAGACATCCAAAACTCATCTTACTTATGGATCCCTTTTGAACTGCTATTGCAAGGAGTTGATGACAGACAAGGCAGAAGGCCTGCTGGACAAGATGAAAGAGCTCAACTTCACTCTTACTTCCATGTCTTATAACAGCCTCATGACCCTTTACACAAAGACCGGTCAGTCGGAGAAGGTTCCGGCAATTATCCAAGAAATGAAGGCTGAGAATATCATGCCGGATTCTTACACTTACAATGTCTGGATGAGGGCTTTGGCTGCTACTAAGGATATTTCTGGTGTCGAAAGGGTCTCTGAAGAGATGAATAGGGATGGAAGAGTTGCTCCAGATTGGACTACTTACAGCAACCTGGCAACCATATATGTCGATGCCGGTTTGTCTGAGAAAGCCGAGAAGGCCCTTCAGGAACTGGAGAGAAAAAATGATCATGGTGATTTTTTGGCGTATCAATTTCTGATCACTCTGTATGGACGGCTGGGGAAAGTGACTGAAGTTTATAGAGTATGGCGCTCCTTGAGGCTGGCTTTTCCGAAAACCACAAATGTTGCGTATCTAAACACGATACAAGTGCTGGTGAATTTGAAAGATTTGCCGGGGGCAGAGACGCTGTTCAAGGAATGGCAATCCAACTGTTCAATTTATGATATTCGAGTTGTGAATGTGTTGATTGGAGCTTATGCCAGGGACGGTCTCGTTGTAAAGGCAAAAGAGATGAAGGATAAGGCACACAGGAGAGGAGCCAAGGCAAATGCTAAGACCTGGGAGATCTTCATGGATTACTATATGAAGAATGGTGAGATTGCTCAAGCAGTTGAATGTATATCTAAGGCAGTTTCCATCGGTAGAGGGGATGGGAGCAAGTGGTTACCGTCGCAGGAGACGATCGGAACATTGATGGGTCATTTCGAGCAAGAGAAGGATGTCGATGGAGCTGAGAGTTTTGTGGAGATTTTGAAGAAGGGAACAGATAATGTAGGTGTCGAAGTTTTGGAATCATTGATAAGAACATACGCGGCTGCGGGAAAGAAGAGCACAGCAATGCGCCGTCGTCTGAAGATGGAAAACGTGGAGGTTAGTGAAGCTACAAAGAAGCTGCTTGACGAAATATGCGAGGAATGAGGTCTAAATCTCATCATCCTCCACTTTTCCTAATTCAAAAACGTTATATTACAGGAGAAGGGCATTCAGACTCATTCCAAACTGTTTTCTTTTGATAATAAAATAGGCTGTCTTCTACATTTTGTTCAATTTTCTGTGAATTCTTTCTGAGCATTGGAATGAAGCCTGGCTTTGGGTTCACATCTGAATATGGAACTCTCGGACAAAACCAGAAACCAAGGACACAGAATCTCTGTTTTTGGAATCTTTAACATGAGGATTGTCTGAAAATGTTTGGATTTTGGTTTCATTCGTATACTTAATCTTATGTTTATTTTAATTTTGCATCTTTTGTAAACAACATGCGGTTCTCCAAATAACAGTTTTTATTTGCCGAGTTACCTATACAAATTAAAAGAGGAATAAAATCGTTTAAACGCAGTTCGGATTCACCAATTTATTTTTGAGTTTTTTTGGTTACTTGACTTTATATATATGTAACACGAAATAAAATGGAAACACTTCGATATGTTCAATCCACAGCTTTTATTCTGGATTGATTTATCTTGTCTGTTTATTATATATATAAATAGGGAAAATGACATTTTCCCACACAAACTTTGCAAAATGTGACCTTTTCCTACACGAATTTTTAATTTGACAAAAAACTACACCAAATTATCAAATGTGCCAAATTGATACACGAACTACCCGATTTAACTGCAATTTCCTACACAATTCGAAAACGGTGTTAAGTGTCTGTTAACCGCTGACGTGGCATATCACGTGGCGGCTGACGTGGCACGCCACATAGATTTTTTGCCACATCAGCATGCCACGTCATATTTTTTAAAAAATTCCGAAAAATAAAATATAAAAAAAAAT